TCTTCCCACCACCAGATAGCCCTTGTTTAAGTAGCTCTATTTGTGTGGAAAGCACTACTTCTGATAGGAACTGGAGAGTCAGGCCAGATATATTTTTAAAGCATCGCATAAAACCCAAGGTGTTTCATGCTGTTTACTGTTTGAACTCTGAATTAAATTCAAGTTGTTTCACGCCATCAGGCAATTATTTAACCAATAATCAACATGCAACAGTTAATATTAAAAGTAGATCCCTTTAAGGAGACAGTGTTCTTGCTCCCAGCATTCAGGCTTGTGCATTCAGCACTTCCCCCATCATCATCTGACAGGCTATTTTTGATATTTGCCCGAGTATCTTTGCATCTTGCTTTGATGCAGAACGCAGCGCAGCGCGGCTGTGGCAGCCGGGCAGGCACAGGGAGCGCCGCGTGTCCCCGCACATGGTCCCGCAGGCACCGCCAGCCCAGCCTCACGTGAGAGTCAATGTGCACAGCAGCTCTTCCCACCGGCCGCTCATTCCCAGGGCCTCACGTGGGAGAACAAAGGTCAGGAAATTCCCTGCTCCTCCTGGTGCTGGAGGGTTTAGTCCTTCGGCTCTGAGAGAAGGGGGCTCACGCTGTGGCTCACCCACCAGCCACTGGCTGCTCGTAAAGAGCGATTAGAGCTTAGGAGAGGATTCCGCATACAAGCTGGCTGCTGGGAATGCTGCTCTTCACGCTACAAAGGCTGTGCTCCTGCTGGAAGAGGAGGTCACATTAAGAAACACAGGGGAAGGACGGCTGCAATCAAGGGAGTGTTGCACGCACACCCTTCTGTGGGCTGGCCCCTTCACCAAGTCATCCCCAGCATGCAGCCGAGAGGCTGGATGGAGCAAGAACAAACCTCTCCCAGCTGGTTGCCGTGCCTATCACAAACAACAGCTACAAGAAAATGCCAAAACCCACCCAATCACACCGGGTGTCAATCACTATTGTTCAGGATCTGTGCAAGAAGGACGAGGTAATGGGCACTGGGCTCTACAGGAAGTACCTCAGCTGAATAAATAAAAAAAACCCCACCCCTGTAACATTTAATAAAATCTGTGTGTTATTGGGTGGCAGGTATAAGAACACTTCAAATGGAAACTGTTTTAAGCCTTTTGATTACAGTACCCCTAAGTATTTTATTTTTTTAAAACTGAAAGTGAAGATTTGCAGATACTGTGTATTTCCACAGATTACAAAGCCTGTTTTTCTTTTTTTTCTTTCCTTAAATAATCTTTGGCAGATCCTTTGCAAGTAGTCCAAGGCACCCAGCCATCCAAGGCAACACAGACTGAAAACCACTGTCACAGGAACGCAAAGAATGAGGGATTTTTTATTTTTTTTTCCCCAAAGCCTCTGACAGCCCTATTCTCCTTAAGGAGCATGGCAGTAACAAAACATGGGCTATAACTGTGTCAGCAGGATCCCTGTGACACAGCACTGGCTCAAAAGTCTTGGTGGTAAACGAAATTCAGATCTAGGCGACAAAAAACCCCAAACCTTCTAATTAGGGTCTTCCAGCACACTTAGCTGATGTTTCTGACCTCTAATTCACTCTGAACCCTTTACAGTAGCTGCCCCATTCTCCCAATTCAGGGCTTCACAGGGAAAAGAGCCAAATAAAAGCAACTACCAACTGCAAAATATGAACCTCCCTTTACATACAAACAGCTACAAATACTCCCCATTCCCCTAAAGGACTCTGCAGTTAAATGGAAATTTATGTCCCACCAAAAAAACTGGCAAAAGACAACCCAAGGTCTGCAAGAGATTAAGAACCAGAAAAAAAAATGTGTTTGCAGTAACAAGTAACTTTAAAAGCTGGCTTTACAGAATATGTTTTTCTGAGGGAGACTGACTTCAACCAGCTAAACAGCATCCAACACAGGCAAAGGAAAGTTTTAGATGTGCCTACATCTTACAATTAATGACGGTCTCCAATGCTAAAATAAATCAAAACTCCCATCTTGCAACAGCCATTATCCTGTGTCCCTCCTCTTGCAAAGAAAACCTATATTTGCTACCTGTACATTCCCCATATAGGAACTGATGGGAAAATAGGTACTTGCTTTATTCTTTGCTATGGTCAGGAGAACACATGATAAACTGGTGAGCCTTAATATTTTTCCATCAACCAGACATTCCAACTGGAAACACAGAATTAAGGTAAATGTGTATGCAACCTTTTTTTGTTGCTATTTTTTTACCTTTAAACAAGAAAATCAGTGAGGATTTTGTAATGCCACATTTGCCATCAAGGTCAGGTTTGCTTTGCTGAGCCTGATGACAGTTCCCAGAGAACACCAACGCAGGGTTCCAGATCTCTTCCAGAGATGGTATAAAATGTCTATTTGGGCAACACCATTAGCTTCTCAAGACAGCTAAAGGCTTGCATTTCATCACACGCACAACATGAAATCTTCTTACAGCACTCTGCCCCAGCCCCTTGAGCCTGAGGCACACCCTGCAGGTACATGTGCTACTCAGGGTGCTCCACGTGCAGGTGTACACCCTCCCTGGACACAGGACACACAGGCACAGGAGTCCTGAGCAGCTGCACGTGATCTGCTGGTGCTAAATGCTGCAGGGCCACTTCAAGCAGGGACATTAAGCAGTACAGGACTTGACCCTTCCTTCAGCCAGAGTCCACAAGCTCAAACATGCCTCCATTACCAGACAAAATTCAGAGGACATAACAGCAAAACGTTTTTAGAATTACTATCCTCTAAAAAAAAAAAAATAATCAGTTTTCCTAAAAATAACATCACATAGTTTTAATTTTTATTGAAACCGTATACTTTATACTATGGGCTGTTTTAGGGGTTGTTTAATTTCTGACAATGACTGCATACTGACTGTGGCAGCTCAGACCAATTAAAAAACCACACCTTTCTTCATGTAGTTTAAAAAATTTACTTTAAATGTCTTAAGGCTCCATTAGAATTATTTTAACAGTCACCTCCGGACTTTTGTATTTCAAAGCAGTAAATTTCCCTTGGCACTTTCATTACAACCTTAATTGCTTATTTTTCTTCTTATGAAAATGTGGGGTTTTAACCACATACTCTTATTTTAAACTTTGCTCAAATGCTAAACTCTAATATGATCTTCTCTTATAAAAAGATTGTCAAAGTAAGATTTTTTTACATTACGATACATTGAAATTTCAACAACCTGGTGGTAACACTGCTGCAAAGTCATAATACCTATCTGTAATAACGGAGAGAAAAATATTACTTTCAAAAATTGAGATGGGCTCCCTTTAACAAACAAAAAAAAAGGCTTTAGAAGAAAATTGTATTATTCTTAAGGCAAGATGGCACAGGGAAAAAGTATCTGCAACTTTACATGTTTAATCCTACCCCAAGAGAAAGGACTTCTTTTCCTACTTTAAAAAAAAAATTGAAGAGACTTTCTAGTGCAAAAAGTTTGGGAGCCTGAGCTGCAAACTGCTGAGGAAAATCTCAAACAAATCAATGAGTTGAAAAGTCAGGCAGACAGCTGATTACAAATAAATTCTGACAGGTGATCGTTAAAAAGCTGGCTCATAACCAGGCTCCTCTGAAAAGCAGAATGAGGACAGATTATCTGCTTTTAATTTTATGTATGCATATGCTACAGAAAATGGGGTAGCATATATGCACTATTTTTAAAAACTGGCTCAGAAAAAGGTGTGGGTTTTTTTATATTCCGCTCTTGCCAATTCCAAATGTATTTTCACTTTGGAAAACCTTACAAGTTATTTGTTAACTATGAAATACCTTGGAACTGAAATACAAAAGAAAGTTAAATCTGCACAAAGTAAAAGTAAGTAAATGAAATCCACAACCAAACACACACTTCCGACTCAAGGCCAAAGAAACTGCTGGCAGGTTTAGGCTGTTTTTTGGGGGGGTGTTTAATTTATTTTTAATGATAAAGAAACACTGCAGAATTTTGAGACTACTTCGTTCTGCTCCACCACTTTTGTCCTTTTTATTTATTTTGCCTCCTTATCAGATGATTCTGACAATGACTTCACACGCTGAGCGTGGCAAACGATCAAGCAGAAGGCAGAGGAGTGGTTTCCTGCTCCAAACAGCACACTTTGCTCTAGCAAAACTTGTGTGAGCAGAAAAGCACAAGAAGTCAGCCACCCTTGGTCTTTTTTTTCTTTAAGAAAAAAAAAAGAAGGGCAAAGCCCTGTATTTTCCAAACTTCAGTGTTGACACTCTTCCACTGACTGTGATCTCAGCCATGCTGGTGTCAAGCCAGAACACTCATTCTGGATTCATACCAGTGTCTCCGAAGGGATGATTCCAAGTGCTAACACACAGTCAGAAGACTTCCACTGACATCAGATGGGTTTGAACCATGCATTACAACCAGAACCTGGCCTTCACCATGTTTTCTTTGCCTACAGATAAAGTGACTATAGATGTATTTCATCAACTCAGGTCAGCACTACACTCAGTCTATGCTAATTTAAGCAATATTATAATGTAGTTCCAAAATTTAGCTCCTGCCACATGTACTGTGGCAAGTTTTACTTTGCTCAGTGGAGAATAAGCTTATGGCCGACACTTCAAACCGGAAAGATTCCTTTTTAGTTTTCACTTCAAAATAATCACCCAATCCTGTGTTTTCACATTAAATACTGGTCAAAGGAACATTCTCTTTCATAGTCCTTCTCCCTCCTCATTTCATACCATGGCACCTGCACATCACTATTCCATCTGTGGGCTTTTTTTACCTGCTAAAAGCTGTGCGACCAACGAGGAAAAGACTAGAAGCAAGTTTCCTTGGAATTCCCACAGCTTCCTTACTTAAGTTAAGTAACATGCCTGCTACAGCAACTCAGCAATAACTACACCTATTATTTTTATATTTTAGAGTGTGAATTACTTCAATCATATTGGCCCTGTCTAAGCTGCCTGTTAATCATATGGGGAGAAGCAATGATTTACACTGGAGAGGGCTGATGCCAAAATCCAGGGGAAGTTCTGAGGGCTGATTTACCTGGTCTGACTGGGCTCTGCATGCAGTTCTGCGACACCATGCCTGGATGGACTGAAGTAGAAGCCCTGCTGCTGAGGTCCATGACAGAAGGTGATGCTGAGGTAGCTTGCTGGAGACCTGACTGGTGTGGGCTATGCTCATGCTGGTTTGGGCTGGGTGGAATGCCATTTTCTGAGAGGAATTCTTCCAGGTCCATGTATTCCAACTGGAAAGTGTCTCCATCGTATGGCAGTGTCTTGTCCCATAATGTTGGACCCAAGAAAGCTGACTGAGGGACTGTGGTACTGGTGCTGTCATCATCTAACTTCTTCTCTTTGTCTTTTTCTTTACCGAATGCTTAAACAAAACACATAATAAAGATTTAAGAGCTAAATAATTAAAATATTAGCTACTACTATTTCAGTTATTTCTGCTGTACTCAGTTGTAACAAAAAATGCTCAAAATAACTCTCTTGATTCACTATTTGGTACAGAATTGAAGGGTTGTGGCATCCGAGCTCCTCTGCTGGGCCCAACCACATATATGAGATTTTCCTCTATTTTTAGACAACAATTCCACTGCATTAATGATTTTGAATGTCAGCTTCAATAAATACTCAACACACTTAAAAGTGAGCATTGAAGTTAAAGCAAACTGGAAGATGTTGCTGTATTCTCTTGAAAAGGAACAGTCTTAATCTCAAATCCCTGCCATATATTATTCTGTCAGACTTCTAGACTAAGGTCCCAGTCTTGTTAGTCTTTACACGGTTCAGTACTTCTTCATGTTACCAACTGATAACAGCAGTGAAGCCTGACATTTTGATGGCAGAAGTGCCAATGAAAAATTCAAAGGTAGAAGCAAAGCCAAGAAAAAGTTGAAGTGATGCTTCCCAATCATTTATTTCTACAACATCTAGTGATTTCACTACACGATTTTGAAGGGAAACACCCGATTTCTCTACAAGATTTGCAAGAATATTAACTACAAAAATAAGGCTTTCCATCAACAACCGCACCTTCTTAACATTTTATTTTTAACCACATCCAACAGCCCCAGTAAAACCCTGTGATCTGCTTTGCCATGAAACTCGGGAAAGCTACGGACACAAAGTCTTGGCTCTGGAAAAACCTTTCACAGGTTTCTGTTTTTAACGTGCACTCGACTCCTTAGAAATAGAAGATGCAACTACACCCGTACTGCTTATCTTTCCAAACAAGCTGAAACTTTCTCCTTTTAAAAGTGCCTTTTCTATTACCGGGACGGTTTGTAACGGACGGGCAGGACGGGGCCGCCCCAGGACCTGCCTCAGGCCGGGAAGGAGCCCCTG